ATGCTCTCAAAATTGCCTCTTAGACGGCCTTTTTAGCTTTCTTCTTGCTGATATGTAATATAGTTTTCAAGATTCTTGACACCCAATCTTCTGCCATGGCTGGATACAAGCTCAGTGTCTTGATTACACCTAGAACATCGTCGCTGTACCACCATAGCTCCTTAGCACTGGGCCTTCCTCCTTCAGTTCCTCTTAAAACATCAGTCATCGTCTCCTTTGAACAGTCACTCACTCTGTACCGCAGAACAGTTGGTCTATCTTCCAACTTCTCAGTAGCTTCTCTAAACACCATATACTTGAATGAGCTCAACTCTTAACTGTTTCTTATAATTATTATTACACTATCATACAATTTTAGAACATATACAAGTCGATGTCAAGCATTAACGGTATTCGAAACTGGAGAAAGCAAAATGGAAAAATAGATGATGGGCAGACTTCCGTATACCAATAATTCAATTATTTGGGGCAAATGAAATGACTTCACACTTGTTAGAAATTTCAACCTATTTTGTCAGTGCACATTAGTTTCCTTATGCAATAGACCGGGTCCAAAATGACTTTGTTTGCAATTCTGTTACAAATAATGGTATCATTTTTAGCATATGACTTCATATGCCTCCAAGAAGAAACATTAAATGTACCAAGTGCCAATCAATATATAAAAGATTTGCAGTAGAAAGTACAATAATCCTAATCACTGGCTGCAATCGAGAATAATACCTGAAAATATATCTCCAATTCAAATGATGGGTTGGTGAAGAAAAAATAAGTGTCAATCCAGTGCATTTCCACACCACCTGGAAAATTCTAAACATCAATGCTGAAGAGGAATTGTAACCATTGAATCCAACAAATGCCAATAGGCACAGTAGTATGCTAATAATTTGGAGGCAAATTGATGGTACTCTGACAGAGAAAGGAATTCAGTTGTGTGAGCTATGTTCTAGACTTGGTTCTTTGGTCACGTGTACGTATAATTGCACAGATATTCAGTTAGGTTTTGGGAACCATTCTTCTCGGTTCTATTTTTCTCTTCATTCCCACCTCCTTTCTATCCTTTCTCCGTGTGTGAGGAAAAGGGGGGTGGGTTGGGGTGTAGTAATGATATAGAATCAACTAGTTACAAACATAAATATAGAATCAGATCACAGTACAATTTAGATCTAGATAGAGGAAACTATCAGCATAGCACACAATCACCTGTAGCCACCTTTCCGATGGTAAATCCAACTGGATTCCGAATATTGCCTAAATGGATTCCAAATGTAACATTCAGGGTGTGTTTGAGTCCCATTCTTTTTTAAGAATGTATTTTGGAATAGTAAATTGATGGGGAAAGTGTGATTAAAAAATAAGGAAAAAATTTTGGTTTGTGAGTAATATTACTTAAATGAAGAATATGTGGTTCAATAGAAGAGAGAGAAAAATGGGAATCAAACACCTCCTTAGAGTTTAAATCAAACTTTACCAAATAAATGGCATGCTAACCCCTCAAGGCATTTCTTTAGATCCTCCGCAGCATATGATGTGGCATCAGTGCCAGATGCCTCCCAATCAGCCAGCGTAAAAACTCTAACACCTTCCATCTGAATATTGTACAAAGGACAGCATCGAAGAAAAAGAAACAACTTGAGCATTGAAATTAGAATAAAAATATGACATCAGATAGTAATACAAACCTGATGGAATACAGGGTAATGAGTTGAATCAATAGAATCTCTGCGATATACATCTCCAGTGACAAGGAAATGAGTATGGCCTCCTCTCAGTAACTCAGCTTGATAAGCACTAGTATGGCACCTCAAGACAGTTTTAGAATCCACATAATATGTATCATTATAACTCCTGCTCACATGATCAGTAGGTACCAATACATCGTCAAAGTTCTGCAAGAACAAGATCGACAATCAAAATAGATCCATCAACCAACAAAATCAAATGACCAATGTGGCAATACGAGATTATCAAGCGTTGGCATGAAGCTGAATAACAAGAATATAATTGTCTCAGTAATTCCAAATTTGGTGCTTCCATGGACAGTATTTCATTTGGTTCTTCTTTAGGTTCTCACAAGGTCTCCAAAGTTAAATCATTTATTTCAATTAATCACATTCGGAAGTGAATATACAACATCTTTGTATCTTTGATTCCTCGGTCATATTTGCAAGAGTCACTCTAGGCATTCTTAGAAATAAAGAGATGAAGTCCAGTTGTCCAGACTTGGAAAATGTTTACTCAGTTCTCAAGACTCTTTGGTACGCAAGCAAAGTCATTGGAGATTTTGTGTCCCCTAGATTCTTTAAGTCGAATGTGTGGTGTTCAAGTCAATTGACATATTGTTATTTCATAGAGTGTCCTCATTCTAAATACCCTACCTGCTGCCTAGCTCCCCACCTCTTCTATACTAGCATTATAAGAATCAAGAAAAAAAATAGAAAAATCACCTCAATCCTTTACAGTTTTTTTTCCTTTATAGCATTAATTGGCATTTGAGTGTTATAAGCTTAAAGAAATATCAATAGAGCAGGGGACCTATTGACGCACCCTACTAAAACCGAATTAATATATTAAATAAGAAAAAGGTAAACTTTCACGGGGGAGAAAATACCAAAAATTTGATCAACACTGTCGAAATAAAATCATAGATAGCAGCATTGCTAGTTCATAGGACATTAATTAAGAAGGAGAAAAGCAAGTTTCAAATTCCTTTATGGACCAATTGACCTACCACAATAGTCGAAACTATTGGGTACAAATCATCAAACTTGTCAAATTTGTTGGGATAATTAGTGTCAAAATAGTCATAGATTGCATTCTTCAGGATGCCAAGGGGATGCTGATCCCTCCTGTGAAGCTGCATTCCAAGCTTTGAGAATATTGAATCAGGAACATTGTTTGTTGGGTCATCTCTTACTATTTCTGCAAATTTAATCATCCAAAGTTCCATAAGTTGACGAACAATGATTCGAGAAATGTGGCATGATCACATAACCCATTAAATAAATGGGAACAAGTATAAATATATGAAAAAATCTACATTTTTGCCAACCCCCCACATTCAGCACATTCATAAATTGAACAAATTTCAACAAAAGAAAGCAGAACCTTCCATTAAGCCATAATCAATTCTGCAAATACACAGAACACATATCCTAGAATAAAAGGTGCACATTCTCTTTGGCTTTTATTCCACTCACTTCAAAATAACAATGAGTATTATTCACTACTAATTGCACAAAACCCGCCATTTTAAGTCAAAGATATTCAAGTTTTCCTAAACAACAATCAATCCAAATGGTGGATTTGCAGAAATGCCCATCTAGAAAAAAAAATTCTGATAGAGTAAGTCATAGTAGAACAAACAAGATACAAACTTTCATAGTGATTACAACGAGAAATAAATGCAAATAAGTTCGATCCAAACTGTAAAAATATAAAACACCCACAACAAATTCATATACTACAACAAAAAGAGCCAATCGCAAAGTGAAGCAATTGAAGAAAACAGTAATTTCTAGAAGTGGGCATGTTACCAGTTTTGGCAATCTTGATGCCACCAAGCTCGAGAACTGATGCCATCGGTTGCCTGAATTTGTCTGAAGGAAAAGCAGAATTTGTGGAGAAAAAAGACAATTGTATGTAAAAGGCAAAGCTTCTTCTGTGAAAGAAAAGAGATGGCTTTGAGAAGAGTGTGGATTGCAAAAGTGTGAAAGCCATGGCAGCAGTGCTGGTTGCTGTGGTGGATCAGCAATTAATTCATTATGGGCTCTCCTGCAAGCCCATAGAATTCGTCCACAGATGAAATATTTTGGGCTTTGAGTTGTAAATGAGAAAGATAAGGGGGCAAATTAGGTACAATACCCTAAAAAATTAACTGATTTGATAAATACTTTGATAATTAATTAAATCACTTAAAGACAGTAATTGATACATCATAAAACTCCAAAACCTCCAAAACACCCCAAATATATCTGATCCACGACCTCCAATGTAACCCGAGCACCGTTTCATCCACTCAAAACTGTCAAGGAATTGCAAAATCCATCCAAAATCGCAGAAAATTTACAAAATGTCGATGATTCAAAGCTTTTTTCAGCCACCATCAAATGTTTACGACACATTTTTCCTGGAAGCCTGAAGATGATTGACTGGAAAGATACATCCAACACTCATGTTTTCATAGTGCAATTTACGATCCAACTTTCCATTTTTTTAAATTCTGAGACCACATCATCTGCCCATGCTATGATTGACTGGGAAGATACTCCATCCAACACTAATGTTTTCAAGGCCGTTGGGGTTGCAGACGGAGGAAATGAAGGAGCTTGAAGATGATCTGATTCTTCTGATAAGTGGAGAGATTTTTGGGGTTGGTTGTTTTGCTTTACAGGTTAAGGCAATTTTGATTCGGCAAAGAATTCTTATACACTTGCCCTAATCAAGGTCTATATCATGGTAGGCTGATATAAGAGCTGGTCCCGAGCACGCGCAGATCTCAGGCCCAAAACCACACAAAGGGCCTATTTTTGACCGAAGTGCTTTTTTTTTTTAATATTGAAAGAAGGAAAATAGTTTTTTTATTAATTGTGAGATGATTGTGATATTTATTTGTTGTTTTAATCTTAAGTTTTAAATTAACAATATGTTGCATAATATATCGTTGAATTTTATATTTAGAGCACGTTTGAGCCACATTATAATGAGAATGAGAATGAGAAATAGAGCCGTTAGGGGCTTCACAACAGAGATAGAAATTCAAAAATGGTGGCTTGATGTGATGGATAACGGTCCTATTTTTCATTTTAATGAGGTAAAAATGGGGCTCAAACAGGGGCTTACATTCATTTTGAGGACCTAATTTTTGGAATTCGCCTCGAACCCCGACAATCACAGAATCGATCCTGGTTGATATCTTAAAGAAGAAGGGTTGACTACAGTATAGTTCTGCAGTCAATCAGAATTGAAAACACCATGTTAGTGGTAAAATTTGGAACTAATTAAAGTTTGATCATTTAACTGGATTAATAGTGGGATAAAGTTCTAACGAGTCATTAAAGATCTATTATGGTAATTTCTATTATAAATTCTTGGAGAAATTGATAGGTGTTGAAATTTGCAATTTGGACATCATCAATTAGTACTTGAAGCCGTATAGTTTACCGAGAGGTCACTTTTTTAATTTTTGTCACTTTTTTTGAGCGTGTCACTTTTTTATTTTTTTTATTTGTGTCAATTTTTTTGAATTCGTTACTTTTTTTTTAGATTTTTGTCACTTTTTTTGAGCGTGTCACTTTTTTATTTTTTTTATTTGTGTCAATTTTTTTGAATTCGTTACTTTTTTTTTAGATTTTTGTCACTTTTTTGAAATTTTGTCACTTTTTTTTTAGTATTTGTTACTTTTTTCAATCACCTTATTAATTTTTATAATTTTTTTTAGTGACAAACATCACGTTTTAATAGAAGTGACATTCCATTTAATAAAAAAATGACAACTGTGTCACTTTTTTTTATTAAAAAGTGACAATTTTTAATAAGAAAAGTGAAAATGTGTTACATTATTTAACATCACAAAGTATTTTTTACTTTAAAAAACATTTCATATGATTTTTCAAAAGATTCATAATTTTAAGGGTATTTTTGTAAGTTGTCCATGATAAGGCGGCTAAGGCCCACGATGTTATCAACTTCTGTAATGGTGATCCAACAATGACACCTCCACCTCTTCCAGTTTCCCACTGAACACTTACACTTCCTGATAGGTCATGGGTACATGGATCAGGCATGAAAAATATTCATCATCTTTCGACGAAAGCCGCCCATCACCATTGCGATATCAACTCTTATTGCCGCTATTATAAGCAGTAGGGGTGAGTACATATCTGGTCGAATTCGTTTTGTTCAATTGACAAGTAGATTCCTTCTTGCCTGCTTAGAAGCTTTCATGTTCAAGTGAATGGTTAGAGATTAAAAAGCCAATCAAAAATATTAGAAGTATATGCTGTAGCCATTAGAATTGAAATTAATTTGTTGACCTTTGCTTTTTGCTATTTATGAAA